TTGAGCCCATTCATTGAGTTTTTAATTTTAATTATTGTATGTCTCTGTTCTAAAATTTCATTTTAGTTCTTTATATCTTCTATATCTTAGCTGAAATCATTTTTCTTTGCTGAGACGGTTTCTTTATTGAAACTTTTTTTTACTGCTTCTTGTGTTCTCAGTATGTTCTTCATTCATTGGAGCATTTTTATGATAGTTACTTTAAAGTCCTTTACAGATGGTTCTAACATTTCTGCATCTTGGTTTTGACATCTCTTGAGTTCTTTTCTCATTTAAGTTGAAATTTTTCTGGTTCATGGTATGATTAATAATTTCTTATTGAAAATTGATTATTTGGATATTTTTTTATGAGACTGTAAATTATTTAATAATCTGTTTTAATACTTTTCCTCAGAATCTTTCCCAACAAGAAAACAGAATAACATCTCTTTATGCCAGATCAGCATAGAAATCTATGCTCCACCCAGGGAGGAGGGACTTCATGTTATTGGTGGGATGCTGTAAAAAGTCATACCATTAGGCTTCCACTGATACTATGCTGGCTGAGGGAGCAGTTCCTTGTCATTGCTCCCCACATGGTCTCAACTGACACCACAGTGGCAGGAATGGCCTTCTTACTTAAGAGTCATATTGAAATCTATGACTCTTCACTAGGCTCTCTCTAATACCACATAGCAGGGAGATAAAGGGGTGTTTCATTACTGCCTGGTGGGAATGAAAATCCTGTTTCCTCACTCAACTTTTCTTAATACTACCCCTTTCCCTACCTGTACTCCACCGCACCTCCCACTCCTGGGAGGGACAGAGGTTTGGGAAGCTTTGTGGAAGCTTTATCAGAGTAGAACTTTAGTCTCTTAATGGGACTGTGCTGGGGAAGGTGGAGTAGGACTAGATGTTGCAGTAGTATTTGGCTGGACTAGACCAGTTACTGTCTAAAAGCTTTCTTCTTGCTAAGCTGCCCCTTTTCTCATATGTTGGCTATAAAGAACAGGCTTTTGTTTGGAATTTTTTTTTTCTTCTTTCTATACCTATTGGTAATTTGAGTTGCCAAGTTCTCTGTCACCTAGTCTGGCATAATGTATAAAACAAAAGGAAAACCTAGGGAATGCAAAACCATGTCATTCCTCAGGTCCTCAGGTTACTAGCCAGTCTCCCTTCTTTTCTTCATCTTTCAGGGTCATCTTATGTTTGTTTTAGATATAAATTCAGTATACTTGCTGGGAGTAGTGATGAAAAGTACATCTAATCCATCTTTCGCAATGCATGACCCCATTATTTTTTTCATTATAAATTTCTTTTTTCTTGTAAGCCCAACCTAAGTTTTCATATTTTCTATCTCAGAATGTTACTTGAAATGGGCTTGTTCATTACCACTGTAGAACATAATGTAAGTAATGTTTACAAAGGATACATAAAAATTTAGAAAACATTAGTGCATAATGAAGTTTCTTAATCATAGAACTTCTCTGATCCAGTAAATATTTCAAAACACCCAGACTCTGTTTATGACACCACTGAAATGGTTATGTTTCTATTAATCTGTATTTTTTGTGCTTTTGCCACTGTTGTTTATTGTCTCTGTCAATCAGAAAAAAATTGTGGCAATATAAGAAAATGTTAAGATGGTTACATATACAGTCTAAAGACCTCATGGTTAGAAAGGAAGAAAAAGTCAATTTTTTATTGGATGCAGATAATTTTAAATCAGTGTTTTTAAGTTAAAGGATAATTGTTACTAGAGTGAAAACAAATATAAGACAGACCAATTCTTAGCAAGTTTTAGCCACTATGTGGTGAAGGACCAAAGGCAAATCTTTTTCCTTGGACTCTAGTCCAGCTCTTTCAAAGCAGAGTCTGGAATGATATGTAGTCTTTAGGGTTTCTTCCAGTATAATCAGATGGAGTACGTATGTTTACTGACTAAGTAGTGTGGATTAATGTTACCTGATTACAGTTTATCTCAGTCTTCCTGAGTACTCAGTGCTTACTCTCCATCTCTCAATTCCTTTGGATAGGATGACTGGATATGACATGTCCAGGCATTAGTTTCTTCATTCAATATAAATAACATGTAAACCCAATTATTTTGTTTCTTGGAGTTCAGTGAAGAAATTTATTTGGACCATGAGAGGGGGATTTGTATACATGGTAATACTGTGAATTATTTACAAAGAGTCAAAGTTGAATTTACAGGATTGAAGAATTTGAACTTCTTTCAACACGTAATTTTGATAGGAGAGAAAATGTCTTCCTTTTATCTTGGTACATATCCTTTCCAAACACATGCAAACACATGCATTTGCACAAACGCTGCTCATTAGTAATGTGAGATATTCAAGAGACTGGCATTGGCTTAAAGAACATTTTAATGGAACCCATACAAATGGTTTTGTAATTGAGACAAGTCTGCAGTCTAAATGGTACCGGCCCACCCCTGACAATTTCTATATGAGGCATATAAATAAATGATCAGATCTTACAGCAAATAAAATTATGCTCTATTTCTGTAATTATTATCTAGGGGCTATACTTAGCTGTCAGTTTTAATTGGATTTATAAAGTAAGATTTATCTGTGATCATTTATGGATGATCTAATTTTCCATTACCCCAAAAGCAAATCCAGATGCTATCAGGAACTCTTAATGATATTTAGTCCTGAGAAAGTAGATAAAGGATTCTTTAAGTAGAGAAGGATTGTGGCTAGACAATAGCAAAATTTCTTAGTCTAATTAGTTCATTTTTTCCAAACGCTTTTTCTGTTAGCCATATCACCATTCAGAATCCAATTTTGGCATCCCAAATGACTAATTTATCTGGATTATTCATCTAAAACAAGTGTTATTTTTGGTACAGGGTCACATGGCTTTTGGAGATGGAAACCAACTTTATTTCATTATGACTGATTTTCTAAGGTTCCACACAATTTTCATTACAGAATGGAAGTAGCACCATAAAAATGATGGTGGATTAATATTAAAATTATTTCTCAAATAATTGCTATTTATATTTATCATGATTTCATTTCACAAGTGTATTTATTTCAAAAACTTTTTGTTCTAGACGATTAGTGATTTCTCCAAATCATTTTGTGACCTGGGATACCATTATCACTGTTAAGTTTGAGTTAAAGGTGCCAAGTCAAAAAGTTCAAGGCAGCACAGACATAATGAATGAAAAATCATAATATAAACCCACTACAAACATTCAGTGGGAACTTATATGCCATATAAGTTACTTTTTTTAATTAACTCATTTGATATACTGTTATTTTATATGTTTCTGTATTATATATATTTTACTTTGGGAAACTACATATTAAAAACTAACTTACATTCATTTAAAAATATTTGTTAACATAGCTGTAATGTAAAGCAATGTAATCAACATTGTGTTTCAACATCATTCTGAAACCTATAATTTTTTTCTCTTTATTTTAGTTAAGTATAAAGTTGTCATTATTGGAATTTTCATCATGAAGCCCTTATCATATCTCAAAATTAATATTCTAAACCTAAGTATTGTTCAAAATTATTTTAACTGAACCTATATTATACCCTGTGTCTCTAGAAGAATAAATATTTAATAAAGTTTTGTCTGTTATTTGCTATTGGCAAAAATTAATTGAAAATTCTTCATCTCTTCTCACCATAAAATGATGATTCTCTCCTACCTAAATAACTTACTCAATCTCCTGCATTCCTGCTTTCTCACTTACAACCTAACCTTTGAGTAATTTTTCTAAAATGCAAAAATTATTGTCACAGGCAACCTACAGAATAGGATAAATCTTTTGCAAACAATATATTGGATAAGGGTTAATATCCAAAATATATGAAGAAACTTAGTCAACTCAATAATGAAAAAAAAACAAACAAATTATTTAAAAAAATAGAAGAACTAAATAGACATTTCTATAAAGAGAGCATCAAATTGTCCAGCAGACATGTGAAAAGATGCTCAACATTTCTGGTCATAAGAAAAACAAATCAAAGGCACAATGAAATATCATCTGACACCTCTAAGAATGGCTATCATCAAGAAGACAAAGAGACAGTAGGTGCTGACAAAGATGTGTTGGAAAGGGAACACTTACACATTGCTGGTGGGAATGTGAATGGGCCAAACCACTATGGAAATCAATATGGAGGTTTTTTAAAAAAATGTAAGTAGATCTACCATATGATCCAGCAATTTCATTTCTGTATATGTAACTAAAAGAAATGAAAACAAGATTTCGATGAGATATGCACTCATGTTTATTGCAGCATTATTAACAATAGCCAAGATATGGAAACAACCCAAATGCCCATTAACAGATGAATGGATAAAAAAGATGTGGTACATATACATAATGGAATATTATTAAGCTATGAGAAAAGAAAATACCCTCCCATTTGTGACTTCATGGACGAACCTTGAGCACATTAAGATAATCAAAGTAAATCTGACACAGAAAGACAAGTACCTTATGATATCACTTATATGTGGAATCTAAAAATATTAAAACTGTAAAAAACAGAGAGTAAAATGGTGTTTTCCAGGGAAAGGCAATGGGGATATAAGACTGATAGTGTTTGAGGGTACAAATTTGTAATAAGCATTAAATAGGCTGTAGAGATCTAATGTACAATATGATGAATATAGACAATTATATTTTATAATAATTATGTAATATAGAACTACATCAGTAATCATATTACAGAATATAAATGTATCAAAGTAACATATTATACACCTAAACTTACACTATTACTCATCAAATTTATTCAATTAAAAAAAAAAGGAATTACCATGTCACCTCTCCTCTTACACTCTTCTTTGCTCCACAATTTACTGGAAAAAATAGCCAAATCTTTACTGTAGTCTGAAGTCTACAGATTTGGTTTCTCTCCTCCTTATGCACTTTTCCATTATGGTCTATTTATCAGTTGGCTAGGACAATCATAACAAAACTACACAGACTGGGTAGCTTAAACAATATAAATTTATTTTCTTACAGTTCTGAAGGCTGGAAATCCAAGATGAAGGTGATGGTAAGATTGATTTCTCTTGAGGCCTCTCTCCTTGGCATGTTGATGGCCAGCTTTTAACTGAGTCCTTTAGTGGCCTTTTCCTCTGTGTGTAGTTTGTTCATTGTTAATGAAGAGTTCATATCTCTGCTATCTGTTCCTTTTCTTATAATAACACTAGGAATATTGCATAGGGCCCTACTTTTATGACCTCATTTAACCCTAATGAGCTCTTTACAGGCCCTATATCCAAACACCATCATATAAGGGGCTACAACTTCAACATATGAATTTGGAGTGTTGGTGTATAATTCAGTCCATGACAGTCCATGCTCCATTAGGTCTCTCTCTTACTATTATATCACCCGAGTCTGTGATAATATCCAACTTGTTACTGAGGCTCAAGAAATATGTGTTGACATAATTTAAAAATTAGTGCACATAAATATTGAACATATAATATGCCTAAGCATTTTACAAGGCTCTAGATACAAGATAAATGCCCTGTTTCCCCAGCATTCAAATACCCACACACACATATACTTTAATAAAATAACATATAAACAGTTGTAATTGTTGGCTGCTTGAGTTTTCCTCCTATAAAATGGGCATATTTTCACTTCCAGTGGGGGAGACAGAAGAACTGAACATGAACAGTCACTACTCATGAGAATGACTCTAGATGGACGAATTTTCCATTCCTGTTCCTGTTGCATGTGCCTTGATAGCTGTCCTAGTTTTGACCCAGACTGGTCTACAGAGTCTAGTAGGGCTCTTTATGGAAGTTTACTACAATGGTGACACCCTTTTCTATGTGGAGCAAAGTTCTGTCTCAACACACATATGTACACATTACCTCATTCATATATTAAAGGAGATTTTAGATATACAGATGCACCTTTCTTAGAAGTGAGGGGAAATTATAAACATTTTCACCTTTCATCTACCTTATCATATTATCTATCCATATCCTATAATAACTCCTGAGCTTATTTCTGAGCAATCAATCCAAGAGACCAAGACAGGATGCCTTTATAACCTGACCTTGGAAATTCTGTACCACAATTCTGTTATATCCAAATCTATCTGTGATTCAGTGTGGAAGAGCACTGCTTGAATACCAGGAGACAAGATCACCCTGACAGCCATCTTGGATAATAACTACATATATTCATTTGAATTTATAAAATTGAGGTCATACTATAATATGGGTTTAATACTTAAAAATTATGTTAATATACAGGATTAAAGGTGGTGGTGTAAGAGGTGAGACAGAGAACTCCTCTCAAATCCACATATAATAGGAAAATATGTTTAATACAACTAATCCTGAAAGAGCAACAGGAAAGAAGACTGCGCCAGACTGCATACACCTGGAGAACAGAGCACACCTCACAAAAAAGGGAAACAGCACAGCTCTGCTGCAACCCCTGACATCACTCCAGAGACTAAGCAGCTCCAGAGACTAGAGCTCCTGGGCACTAGAGGGCGCCACATACAAATATGAAATGTCACAGGAACTTGGTTCAACCCAAAATCTCACAAAGCACCAGAAAAAGGGCAAATTGAGACAACTCACCAATCTTCCTGAAAGAGAATTCAAAATAAAAATCATAGACATGGTCATGGGGGGACAGAAAAACATTCAAGAACTCAGGGATGAATTTAGGATGGAGTCTCAATAATTAAGAAATTCCATATATGAAATGAAACATACAATGGAGGGATTTAAAAGCAGATTGGATGTAGTAGAAGAGAAGGTAAATGGAATACAAATTAGAGAAGAGGAATACAAAGACTTGAGGCACAGAGAGAAAAAGGATCTCTAAGAATGAAAGAATATTGAGAAAACTGTGTGATCAATCCAAGTGGAGCAATATTCCCATTATAAGGGTATCAGAAGAAGAAGAGAGAGAAAAAGAGGTAGGAAGTGTCTTTGAGGACATAATTTCTGAAAACTTTCTCAGTCTGGGGAAGGAGATAGTCTCTCAGGCCATGGAGGTGCACAGATCTCCCAACACACAAGGGACACAAGGAAAACAACACCGAGACATAAAATAATTAAAGTGGCAAAAATTAAGGATAAAGAGAGACTTTTAAAAGCAGCTAGAGATAAAAAAAGATCACATGCAAAGGAAAACCCATCAAGCTATCATCAGATTTCTCAACAGAAACCTTACAAGCCAGAAGGGAGTGGCATGATATATTTAATGCAATGAAGCAGAAAGGCCTCTAGTGCCAAGAATATGATACCCTGGAAGATTATCTTTTAAATTTGAAGGAAGGATTAAACAATTTCCAGATTAACAAAAAGTTAAGAGTATTTAACTCCCACAAACCACCTCTACACTGTACTTTGGAGGGACTGCTATAGATGGAAATTTTCCTAAGGCTAAATAACTGTCACCAGGGGAAATAAAACCCCAGCAATGAAAGTAGGAAAATTAATTACTGAGGAGATGTAAAATCAAATCAACTACACCAAACTCAAACAAGGGATAGACAAACAGTAAAGAATATGATGCATAATATATGAAGAATGGAGGAGGAAAAAAGGAAGGAAAAAAAAAAAAGAAACTATATATTTGTAATAGCATACTAAGTGAGTTAAGTCAGACTGCTAGATACTAAGGAAGTTACCCTTGAACCTTTGGTTACCATGAATCTAAAGCCTGCAATGGCATTAAGTATATAGCTATTGATAATCACCCTAAGTGTAAATAGTCTAAATGCACTAATCAAAATATATAGAGTCACGGAATGGATAAAAAACAAGACTCATCTATATGCTGCCTACAAGAGACTCACTTCAAACCCAAAGACATACACAGACTTAAAGTAAAGGGATGGAAAAAGACGTTTCATGCAACGAATAAAGAGAAAAAAGCAGGAGTTGCAGTATTTGTGTCAGACAAAATAGACTTCTAAATAAAGAAAGTAACAAGAGACAAAGAAGAACATTACATAATGATAAAGGGGTCAGTCCAACAAGAGGATATGACTATTATAAATACCTATGCAATCAACACAGTATCACCTACATACATGAAAAAAATACTAACAGAATTAAAGGGGAAAATAGAATGCAGTGCATTCATTTTAGGAAACTTCAACAAACCACTCACTCCAAAGCACAGATCAACCAGACAGAAAAGAAGTAAGGAGACAGAGGGACTGTACAACACAATAGAACAGATGGACCTAACAGACATCTACAGAACACTCCATCCAAAAGCAACAGGATACACATTCTTCTCAAGTGCACATGGAATATTTTCAAGAATACATCATATACTAGGCCACAAAACAAGCCTCAGTAAATTCAAAAGCATTGAAATTGTACAAACCAGCTTCTCAGACCACAAAGGCATGAAACTAGAAATAATGCAAAGAGAAAGAAAAAGCACACAAACATGTGGAGGCTTAGCCTCAGTAAATTAAAAAAGATTGAAATTGTACAAACCAGCTTCTCAGATCACAAAGGCATGAAACTAGAAATAACACAAAGAAGAAGAAAAGCACACAAATACATGAAGGCTTAATAAGATGCACCTAAATAATCAATGGATAAATGACAAAATAAAAACAGAGATCAAACAGTACATGGAGATAAATGAGAACAATAATTCAACACTGCAAAATCTGTGGGATGCAGCAAAGGCCATGCTAAGAGGAAAGTACATTGCAATACAGGCCAACTTCAGGACAGAAGAACAATCCCATATGAACAGTCTAAACTCACAATTAACAAAACTAGAAAAAGAAGAAGAAATGAGGCCCAAAGTCAGTAGAAGGAGGGACCTAATAAAGATAAGAGCAGAAATAAATAAAATTGAGAAGAATAAAACAATGAGAAGAATAAATGAATGCAGGAGCTGGTTCTTCAAGAAAATAAACCTGTAGCTAGACTTATCAAGAAAAAAGTCTACACATATAAACAGAATTGGTAATGAGAAAAGAAAATCACTACAGACACCACAGAAATACAAAGACTTATTAGAGAATACTATAAAAATTCATATGCTAACAAACTGGATAACCTAGAAGAAATGGACAACTTTCCCCAAATATACAACCTTTCAAGAATGACTTATAAAGAAACAGAAAATATGAATAGACCAATTACCATCAATGATATTGAATTGGTAATAAAAAATCTACCTAAGAACAAAACACCTGGACCAGATTGTTTCACTGCTGAATTTTATCAAACATTTAGTGAAGACCTAATACCCATCCTCCTTAGTTTTCCAAAAAAGTAGAAGGAGTGAATACTCCCAAACTCATTCTATGAGGCCATCATCACTATAATATTAAAACCAGGCAAAGACACCAAAAAAAGAAAATTACAGCCAATAACCCTTATGAAAATAGATGCAACAATACTCAATAAAATATTAGCAAACCAAATTCAAAAATACATCAATAAGATCACCCATCATGATCAAGTAGGATTTATTCCAGGGACACAAGGATGGTACAACATTTGAAAATCCATCAACATCATCCACCACATCAACAAAAAGAAGGACAAAAATTACATGATCATCTCTGTAGATGCTGAAAAAGCATTTGACAAAATTCAACATCCATTCATGATAAAAGCTCTCAACAAAATGGGTATAGAGGGCAAGTACCTCAGCATAATAAAGGCTATATATGACAAACCCACAGCCAACATTATACTTAACAGTGAGAAGCTGAAAGCTTTTCCTTTATGATTGGGAATAAGACAGGATGCCCACTCTCCCCACATTAATTCAACATAGTTCTGGAGGACTTATCAACAGCAATCAGACAACACAAAGAAATAAAAAGCATCCAGATTGGCAAGGAAGAAATTTAATTGTTCCTCTTTGCAGATGACATGATATTGTACATAGAAAACCCTACAGGGTCCACTTCAAAACTACTAGATCTAATAACTAAATTCAGCAAAGTTGCAGAAAAAAATTAATACACAGAAATCTGTTGCATTCCTATGCACTAATAATGAACTAGCAGAAAGAGATATCAGGAAAACAATTCCATTCACAATTGCATCAAAAAGAATAAAATACCTAGGAATAAACCTAACCAAGGAAGTGAAAGACCTATACTCTGAAAACTACAAGACACTAATGAGAAAAATTAAAGAAGATACCAATAAATGGAAACACATCCCGTGCACATGGAGAGGAAGAACTAATATTGTCAAAATGGCCATCTGGCCTAAAGCAATCTACAGATTCACTGCAATCCCTATCAAAATACCAAAAGCATTCTTCAATGAAATAGAGCAAATAGTTCTAAAATTAATATGGAACCACAAAATACCCTGAACAGTGAAAGCAATCCTGAGAAGGAAGAGTAAAGTAGGAGGGATTATGCTCCCTGTCTTCAAGCTCTACTACAAAGCTATGATAATCAAGGCAATTTGGTACCAGAAGAAGAACAGATCCATAGAACAATGGAATATACTTGAGAGCCCAGATATAAACCCAAGCATATATGTTCAGTTTAATTTGATAAAGTCTCCATGGATGTACAATGGGGAAATGACAGCCTCTTTAACAGCTGGTGTTGGAAAAACTGGACAGCTACATACAAGATAATGAAACTGGATTATTGACTAACCCCATATACAAAAGTAAACTCAAAAGGGATCAAAGACCTGAATGTAAGTCATGAAACCATAAAACTCTTAGAAGAAAACATAGGCAAAAATATCTTGAATATAAACATGAGCAACTTTTTCTTGAACACATCTCTGCCAAGGGAAACAAAATAAAAAATGAACAAATGGGACTACATCAAGCTAAAATGCTTCTTTACAGCAATGGACACCATCAGCAAGAACAAAAAGGCATCCTACATTATGGGAGAATATATTTGTAAATGACATATCTGACAAGGGGTTAACATCCAAAATATATAAAGAACTCAGATGCCTCAACACCCACATCCGAAAGACAAATAACCCTATTAAAATATCGGCAGAGGATTAGAACAGACACTTCTCCAAAGAGGAAATTCAGATGGCCAACAGGCACAAGAAAAGATGCTCCACATCGCTAATTATCAGGGGAATGCAAATAAAAAACACAATGAGATATCACCTCACAGCAGTTAGGATGGACAACATCAAAAAGACTAGGAACAACAAATACTGGCGAGGATGCGGAGAAAGGTGTGCCCTCCTACACTGCTGGTGGGAATGTAAATTAGTTCAACCATTGTGGAAAGCAATATGGAGGTTACTCAAAAAAGTAAAGATAGAAATACTCTTTGACCCAGTAATTCCACTCATAGGAATTTACAAGAAAACAAGATCCCTGATTCAAAAATACGTGGGCCCCCCCTGTTTATCGTAGCGCTATTACAATAGCCAAGTATGGGAGCAACCTAAGTGTCCATCAGTAGATGAATGGATAAAGACGATTTGGTACATATACATACACAGTGTAATATTATTCAGCCATAAGAAAACAAATCCTACCATTTGCAACAACATGGATGGAGCTAGAGGGTATTATGTTCAGTGAAATAAGTCAGGCAGAGAAAGACAAATACCAAATGATTTCCCTCATTTTTTGGAGTATAACAATGAAACAAAACTGAAAGAACAAAATAGCAGCAGACTCACAGACTCCAAGAAGGGACTAGTGGTTACCAAAGGGAATTGTGGGAAGGGTGGGTGGGGAGGGAGGGAGAAGGGGATTGTGGGGTATCCTGATTGGTGCACATGGTGTAGGTGGGGTCGTGGGGAAGACAGTATAGCTCAGAGAAGACAAGTAGGGACTCTGTGGCATCTTACTACCCTGATGGACATTGACTACAATGGGGTATGGGGGTGGACTCGATAATAAGGTGAATGTAATAACCACATTGTTTTTCTTTGATACCTTCATGAGAGTGTATATCAATGATACCTTAATAAAAAATTATTTTAATTTAGGCAACTTTTCAATCATTAATTTACTTGCAAACATTATGTTTAACTCCAGAATTATATATTTCATTATGTAGCTACATGCAATTGTGTAACTATGATTTAACACATCTTTTATTATTAGAACATTTAGGTAATTATATTTTTTGTCTTTTTAAACTAACCAATGAGCAAATTTAGTACTAGATCTTTATACAGAAATAACAGATCCTTAAAATGCACGACTAGAATTTGACACTCTAGGTGTAATGTCACAAGCCTGATTGATAAGCTTTGGATATTAAAAATTGTTCTCCAAGAAAATTTTGTCAATTTTCTTTCCTATTAGCAAAGAATTTTAGGTTATCTTATTTTTTTTTTATTTTATAATCCAAGTCTAGTCTTACTTTTGTTTTAATTAAATTTTTTTTGATTACTAATTCTGCTGAAGTATATTCATGAGCTCATTGGTGATTCATATTTTGGAAATTACATATGTATGTAGATATAGAATAGAAATACATAAGTGGATTTTTAATATTTCCTGTTTCTCTTTTTTTAAATGAATTCTTAGAACACATATGGTAAAACTATAAATCATTTTTTAAATAAACTTTTTAGAAGAGTTTTAGATTTAAAGAAAAATTTAGAAGATAATACAGTTCCCTTTATATAATATTAGTATGATGTTTGTTATAATTAATAAAAAAATGAATAATTAATGAGCAATCATTGATGTATTATCATTAGTTTAAGTCCATACTTTATTCACATTTTTAGTTTTTACCTAATGTACTTTTCCTGTCTCTGGGTTTCATCTATGATACCACATTACCTTTAGTGGTCACATCTCAGTTTCCTCTTGGCTCTGACAATTTCTCAGATTTTTCTTGTTTTTGGTCACCTGTCCAGTTTAAAGTAGTACTGATTGGGTATTTTGTAGAATGTTCCTCTATTGGAGTTTGTCTCATCTTTTTTATGGTTAGACTAGAGTTATAAGTTTTTAAGAAAAGGCTTCAGAGACAAAGTGCCATTTTCATTGCACCATGTCAAGGGTACATGCTATCAAAATGATTTATCACTTGATGTTGACCTTGATTACCTGGAAGAAGTTTTGTTTGTCAGAATCTCCACTATAAATTTTTTTCTCTGCCTCTCTCTACTTTTTTTTTTTTAACTTCACACAGCCCACCTATAAATGATGATCAGTTATACACCTTTTCCTTGAGAAAAGATCTAAATAAAATACTAGTAGTTCTGCATGGGAAATTTGATTCCTCTCCCATATTTATTTATTACTGAATCATATTACTTATATTATGGCCACATGTGTATTTATTTTATTCTTTGGATTATAGTCCAATATTACTTCATTGTTCAAATTGTTTGAGCTTGGCCAGTGGATACTTTGATGTACCCCTGCCAGCCTAGGTTTTTTCTTTTTGTGTTTTCTGAGAATTTCCTCACCTTTTGGTACTATTAGATGCCCCGGACTTCCAGGTTCATCTTGTATCATTTCTTGCATGAGTCTGACGTCAGGAATTCTCTGTAACAACTTTTTTTTTTTTTTGTAGTTAGAGAATGATATGAGAAACCAAGGTATCCTCCTACAAGAATTGCATTGTGTCCAGTCTCAGCTGATGGAGAAAAGATACGTGTGTGTTTATGCTAACCAGCTTATAAACATATATGTATAAATGTTTCTATATTTACCTGTCTGCATATATATTAAACTAAACATGAGTTCATACTGATATATCCAACTTCGATTCATTAACTTATGGGTCATTCCAACCTTTTGCTATTAGCTGTCTGGAAATTTCCACACCACTAGTGAGGAGCCTGGATTCCACATCTGCCATCCAGTTACTTAATTGTTCTATTTCAGTGAACGTGTATAGCAAAATCAGAATTGTTAACCCTTTCCTCCATGAGAAACTACTTTATTAACTAGAATTAGAGGGCTTCTGTGTAGTTCTCTTCACTTCAGATTTACATTTCCACTCAATCATAAAGTTACTTAGGTCAGCACCTTTTCCTTCCACTCCCTTCAGTGATTTTATTTCATACAATTAGAAGAGCAAATTCTTTTGTTACCATCTGCTTTCTATCTTGGAATCCCTTGACATCTTAAACGAGATAAATTTGGATGCTTCATATGTGACAGACAAACACTCGCAAGTAATTAAAGAAAGGACTGACTTTTCAACAAAAGATGTTGGCTATTGGATGACAATTCTCTACAGGTCACTCACGTTTTTCTGCATGTCTTTTGAGCAAAAACACTGACTGCCTTTAGTTTAAACTATTTTTTCAAGGATTTTTGTATAGCAAACAGACTTGAAAGTTAGAGATATTGTCTCCATCCAAATTCTACACCCCCAGTAAAAGGCAGAATTCTTTAATGTCCTATATATTAAACATAATGTTTTCTGAGGCTACATCTAAGCATACTTGCCCATTGTTGCAAATGTAGGTTCTTTAAGCTCAGCGTTCCTCTCCTTTAATGCACCTCACTGCTTGTGTGGGTGTCACCTGGCCCTCTTCAAGTATTCTTTTGGAAAAGGAGACTTGGGAAACTTACTCACATGCTAATTTTCTGGCTACTGCTACTGTTGTGATTAGCAAACTATTTTGTCTCTGACACAGAAGTCACGTATTTTTCCAGAGTCATGAAACTATTGCACGCTAACTTGTTAGCTCACAAGTAAGGAAGAATTTCTAATTGTTCTTCATTCTTAGCCCTGTCCTTATTGCATAGCCATAGGGAAATAAACATGTAAGGAAAAAAATCAAGGATATGGCTAGAACAAAGCTCAAAAGGATTGTTAACTGTGGGAGAGGGAAGGAAGGAGGATTTGATGAGAGTTAGGTATTCAGTGGAGTTTCTGGTGTGTGGACAATATTCTGCTTCTTCACTTGGGTAGTAGTTAAGTGAATGTTGAATTTATAATTGTTTAAACTGTGAGCATGTGTTTTACCACTTTTCTCTATGTTCTCATAATAAAAATTGTTAAAATAATATATTACTCAGTGTGGGTAATAAATATTTAACCACTTAAGATTTTGCATTCTAGTAAATACTAGATAAATTTTAAAAGAAAACAACATCTACATATTTTATATTTATTATAATACTTAAGTGTAGAAAATGTAAATCAATAAGCCTAGAAGAAAATAAAACCCAATGCTAATAATATTTATCTCTGAATGGTATGAATATAGGCTGTTCTTTTACTTTTTGCCTTAGTTTAGTTTTGCAACTTTTAAATCATTAACACATATGTAGAATGGAAATGTTTCCTTAAGTTAATGAAAATAATACAAAAATAATCTAAAAAATTTATCTATCACACGTACTACTAAACTATATGGACCACCTGTAAAAATATGCTGACAATATGTTAAAACAATCACCAATTAATGAGAGATTAAGATACTCGAAATCATACACAATTTTTTACACTAGTAGCATAGGGCAAGATTCAAGAGCCACAGAGAGAATTCAGTTTAAAAGTCTGAATCAAACTAATCCCCCCACCCACCCCCACCCCCGTTCCAAAGGACTTGACTGGCTAAACGGGTTTACGAGGGATCCTATTTAAAGCAAAGTGTATTCCTACCACAAAATGCTCAAAGTAGTCATTAAAATGCTCTTTCACTTGCTTTAGTAATAATAATGATGGATTAACAAAATAATAATGGTTTTAATATGCAGCAAAATATCAATACACAACATATATTAACTTCCGGAGAAGCCCAATGCCAGCAATTCACATGCCTCATCACATTTAATTTCCAGCATAGCTCAGTGAAGACAAACGACTCCTAGTCCTATTTTACAAACATGGGACACTGAGATTAGAGAATTTTAAAATAACTAGTCTCAGGTCATAGAGCAAGTATGTGAGGAGTCATGGCAGAAGCCTAGGCTGTCTGAACCTAGAGCCAGAATTTATCCAAATATGAAATGAAATATGAAAGCAGCCAGTAATACTGACATACTTTTAAAAATCACTTGAATGATGTCCAGAATCTTTGGACTCATATCCCTCTCTGCCTTATCCATTCTCAACCTCTGGGGCATCAATTCACTTTTTCATTTGTTAGTTTTGGACAACAGAATAAAAATTGAAATTCTCCTTGGGAAACATTGCATGAAAATATATTGTAATAATAATGTCTCCCAATTTTTGACTGTTGATATATCATGCTTTCTCAAGTCAGACAAGCATAGTGAAGAATCTTTTGTCAACATTTAAAATTCTTGGTCAAGGTATAACAACTCACTGATACTCAACTTCCTCATCTGTAAAATTTTCATAATAAAATTCATAAGGTTGTTATGAATACTAAAATGGGATAACATATGAAAAATAAAGTTAGTTTCATAAATAGTGATTTTATTTTTCAGTTTGGTAGAGAGAAGTGACAGGGTAAAGAGAAAGTAAAGGGAATAAATCTTTACCTTTCTGGAGCTCCTCCATCCCTCTGAAGGGTCCCCACCAGTAAGATGGCAAACTTCCGGCTTCTCTTCGGGGGGTCCTCAGTTCCCACCAGCGCCACCTGAAGCCCAATCACCTCTCGCCCCCCTCCCAATCCCAGCACCTAGCCAACAGCCACCAGCCCCGTAGAAGTGACACCTCAATCAATTCATGCCCCCTCCTATATAACCCAGCACCTTTCCCTAATAAAGCGGAACTCTCCGGTGAATTGCTGCTATGTGTCGCTCCTTTCCTTTCATTGGTGCCGAAACCCGGGAGACGGGACACCCCAACTGGGCCCCGTCTTCCCCCGACACCAGCAGCAGCTTGCCCTCGTCCTCTTTTTCCGGCGCTGGCTCATCACACTCACCACTCCTCTCTGGCCTTTAGGTAAGTTTTCCCCCCGGAGTGGGCCACTCTTCCCCGAGCTATCGCAGTGCCATTGACCGTGATCGTCCGGCAAGGCCCTGACGCTCGGGGATGAGGAGGGAACGCTCCCCGCCTCAGGCCTTCACGGCTGCGGCGGACCCTCAGGCCCCTCCTCCAAAAGCCATAAATCCCCGCCTCAAGCCTTTACGGCTGCGGCGGACGCTCAGGCCCCTCCTCCGACAGTCAAACGCATTCACCATCCCTTCCATCAGTGCTGAAAGTTTTTAAGCAAAATTTCCCCGGGGTGGGCCACTCTTCCCCGAGCTATCGCAGTGCCATTGACCGTGATCGTCCGGCAAGGCCCTGACGCTCGGGGATGAGGAGGGAACTCTCCCCGCCTCAGGCCTTCACGGCTGCGGCGGACCCTCAGGCCCCTCCCCAAACAGCCATAAATCCCCGCCTCAAGCCTTTACGGCTGCGGCGGACGCTCAGGCCCCTCCTCCGACAGTCATAAATCCCCGCCTCAGGCCTTCACGGCTGCGGCTGACTCTCAGGCACCCCCCTCCAACAGCCATAAACGAGGTGACTCCTTTGTGGATGAGAACGCTCCCTTTTCCCCCCCTCCTCCTTCTGCTCCGTCCGCCGAAAACGCCTAGCGCTAGGTACCTCGTGACTCCGGCACTCTGCCTTCTTAGGGAAGTCTGGGTGACGACCCACACTTCCCAAGAAATTCCGACTCGTATACGAGTTTCCGCAGACCACCAAGGATCATCGGGGACGCCCTTTGTCTCCTTGTGGTCTGCTTCCAGTCCGAGGATCTCCGTTCGTCTTCCCCTGTTTGTCTCCTTCTCTGTCCTTTAGCCATGGGAGCCTCCTCATCCCTCCCTGAAAGTTCACCTCTTGAATGCCTGCTTAAGCATCTGGCTACCCTCTCCCTGACGCCTGATATAAAACCAAAACTTCTCCGTAAATATTGCTCCCAAGATTGGCCGACATACCCCCTAGACAATAACAACCAATGGCCCGCAGGGGGAACTCTTGATCCTAACATCACTCGCGATCTTTTTAACTACTGCCAGCGCCTGAAAAAATGGAAGGAGATTCCCTATATCGAAGCTTTCCGCCTCCTCCTCTCCCCGCCCCCTCCCAAGTTCTCCTAGCCTGCAAGCCGCCGCCCCCGCAGAAGCCTCCCGTTCACTCCCTTCCCCTTCTTCTCCTACAACAGCCCTTCTCCCTTCCTCCCCAACCATCTCCTCCCCCATCTCACCTCCTCCACCTTCATTCCCTGCAGATTAAGCCTGAGCCTTTCAGCCCCCCTTTAACTAGGTCCCAGGGGCCTCCTCCGTCTTTGCCCTCATCACCTGTTTCTCCCCTGTTAGGGACCGCCTTTGTCTTCTCACATGTTTGTAGGGAGAATGGGAAAGCACCTTCCCCCATGTCTGAACGCAGCATGGGAAAGCACAAGCTAGAGAACAACCGGTGCAGTCCTTAGAAGTTATCTGTCCACAAAAACATATCTTGCCAAGACTCCTCACTCTGAAAATAGGGAGACCTTGAAGATGTGTAGAAACACCGCCCCTGCTTCTAGCTATGCCCTTCCCCCACTTGCCGATGTGGCAGGAATAGAAAACAACGCATTCCATAAGCAATTAACTGGAGCCCTGCTGTAGCTCAGTAGAGCATGGGACTCTTAACCTCAGAGTCATGAGTTCAAGCCCAACTAAAGCAGCAGAGGCAAGCAGCTGGGCTGCTAGCTGGCGACATGTGGGTCCGATTCTATCTTTCTTTATTTTCTTTGCCCCCCTTCTGCACTTCAGGACCTGCTCGACTAGGCACGGCTAGACCGCGTCACTCCCCCACAGACTGAGCCAGAACCCTTCAGTCCCCCTCAGACTCAGTCCCGAGAGCCTCCCAAAATTATCGCCCCCCTCCGGGAGGTAGCAGGATCCGAAGGCATCGTGCGCGTTCACGTCCCTTTCTCCTTAAGAGATTTAGCCTAACTAGAGAAACGCCTAAGTTCCTTTTCCACTGATCCCATGACATACATCAGGGAGTTTCAATAGACCCTCCAGTCTTACAGCCTCACACATCATGACATTTTCATGCTCCTGGCCAATACTCTCCTCCCTGAAGAGCGTAGACGAGTTTAGGACTTCGCCCAAATGCAGGCTACTGAAACCCACAGGACTGACCCCACCTATCCCCCTGGCCCCACTGCTGTCCCCGAACAAGACCCACACTGAAATTATAACACCGCCATGAGTCTCCGCTCTCGAGATATTTTTGCCTCCTGCTTAATAGCAGGTCTGAAAAAGGGCAGCTTGTAAAGTAGTCAATTTTCAAAAGCTCCAAGACATAATTCAAAAGAGAGATGAAATCCCCTCCGAGTTCTTAGACAGACTCACTCAAGCCCTATTACAGTATACCAGCCTGGACCCAGAAACACCTGAAGGAAGACATGTCCTTATGACATACTTCCTAGCTCAAGGCTACCCCGACATTAAAGCTAAACTCAAAAAGTTAGAACAGGGCCCCGCTACCCCACAGACTGAGATCCTAACAGTGGCCTTTAAAGTCTTCCATAAGCGGGAGGAGGAGAAAGAATGCCGTAAACAAAAGGCTGATCAGGCCAATTTCCAGATGTTGGCCCAGCTGATAAAACCACAACCTGGGCGCCCCTCTACAAACAAGCCCCCCCAAGAGCTTGTTTCAAGTGCAGAAAAGAGGGACATTGGTCAAGGGCGTGCCCCTCCCCCAGATCTCCTACCACCCCATGCCCCAGATGCCACAAAAAGGGCCACTGGGGGTCTGATTGCCCAACCACCCGAAGGGGAGGCTGGACGAACAACCCCCATCCTAAGCCCGCCGTAGTGGGGCTGGCAGAAGAAGATTGATGGGGCCCGGGGGCTTCTCGCCCGACCATTTCCATCACCAAACAGGAGCCCAGGGTTACTTTAACAGTAGACGGTCACCCCATCTCCTTCCTCCTAGATACAGGAGCCACCTTCTCAGTCTTGTGAGAATACCGGGGCCCTACCACGCCAGCCATTACTCCTATAGTCAGAGTAGGAGGTAAACAGATTTTCCCATTAAACCCCCCACCCACCCTT